TGATCTCAAGTTTTTCAAATCTTATTAGTATATTAAAATAAGCTCCTTAGGTAAAATCTGAAGGAAATAGAGGGAATAATCTGTTTATTTTAACTTTGTTGGTGATTTGACAGTTATACCCCTCTGACACAATCCAAACACATTAACCACTTTAGCTTGAACTCGTTAAGTCCCTCAAGTCTGTTAAATAAAGTCATAAATCAATTATTTATTACTTCATCTTCTCCAACAACTTCCCGAACGACCATCTTTAGCCTAAATTCCAAATTTGCAATAGATAGATTCCCATTAGGAAAGACGTTGAAGAAGATGCTGGAGAAGATGAAGTGAAAAATAGGTTTATGTTAGGGTTTTATTAAACAAATTTGGAGAATTTAACCGATATAAGTCAATGTTGTTAATGTGATTGGGTTTGTGAGAAAGGGATATAACTGAAAAATCACTTAGAATACTCTCCTCATTTTAACTAGATTTTCACTAGAGAGCTTATTTCAACATGCTAATATGATATGGAAGGCCTAAGATCAATTTTAAATATTTGGGCGTACTAGCAAATGTTGACGTATGGAATCGCACAGTTAAATGGTGGGAGTGATCAAATTAACGGAGGTCCTCTAACCCTTCGAATGTCTGATTTTTGAGCAAGTTGTTCTTCCCTGCACAAGTAACAAATTGTAAGAGGGCGGGGTCTGGTTCCTTCGGTTGTTCCTCCGACGATCAAGTCAGTGAGCTGCTTGCGTAAAGAAGTAAAAAGAACTACAGTAGTTTTTAAACTCAGAGAGTAGTAGGAAAAAGCTTACCCTATAATTAAAAATAGTATCTCCTTTTATAGTAGCGGAAGAAGGGGTAGGATGGTAACTTCGGTCGGGTATGGGTTGGCAGCCAAGTCAGCTTTAACTTTACAGATGTCGACCGACGAGTGGAGGAGATGTCACTTCAGTGTTTAATGCGAAGTGACGGGGGATGTGCTGTGCCGACGTGTCATAAATACTATTGGGGGCAGATGAATGATAGCACGAATGCATTTAATTGTATTTACTGCGAGGTGATTGGTTATCAGTGCACAAAGAGGGGGCTTGAGGCTCGAGGTGTTTCGTCGTCTTTCTACTCGTCGAATGGTCGAGAAATATCGCCTTTTGAGTCGTTCTCGCAAGGTGTCAGCCGATTATTCCGCAGCATGGAGTGGTTAAGCAGTCAAGTCAGTCAGGGAACGACACATAATGCCTTTTGGGTCGTCGACATATGATGTCTTTCAAGTCGTGCTCGTAAGATGTCAGCGTATTGAGTTGACCGAATTGGGCCTCTGATTATCTTGAGATGCCGACTTAATTATTCATAATGTGGGGTACTTGTCTGCTATTAATTGAAGACTATTTTCCATCACTAAAACAGCTATAATAGCAAATATTGAAGTTTTTTTTTTTTTTGGTGGGGGGGCAGCAATCAATTTCCAAATATACGGCGGCCCAATTACGAATGTTGAAGATGTGGGGGGCTAAGACGAAATAACGCAAGTATTTTTATCAAAATAACTCTCTTTTATTTTTTGTGGGCCAGTTGTCCACCGACTTCGGGGTGGAACCGGGTCCCACCGAACCGCCCACTCCTCTGACCACTGTCCCCACTTTCACACTCCTCAAGATTTTTCGCAGCTCCATGTTTAATGGTATCTAAATAGTAAAATTATCCACGTGATAAACACTAATTCTCATTTTGCTTGACGACTATATATATATATAGAGAGAGAGAATATTTATAAAAATAGTTTCGTAGATGGGCCCTCGTAGACTTGAAATATTTTGAATTCGTCTGAAACGGAACTAATAAGGGAAGAACTAATTGACTTTGAAAATAATAAAACTTATGGCTGCTCAACTAGCAGAGATGCAAATTAATAATACGAATTTTTAATTCCACTGATTTTTAAATTGTTATTTGCAAATCGCGAAGGATCAAAAGAGATACATAATCATAAGAATGCATATTAGACTACGTGGAGATATGTGAAGCGTAAACTATATAACATCTTCATTTTTCATCATAATGTCAATTCCGATCATCCTATTTGAAAATCGGTTAGATGTGTTTATATCTTTTTTTAATTTGAAATGTTTTTTTGGTTACTTTCTCCTTTCCTCCTATCACAGTATCATATCATATGATATTGTGCTTGGTTTGTACTAAGACAACTTTGCTTAGTAATGTGATCTTTACTTTCTACATATATATTGTTATTTGGTTCTACTGTTGTGCTATATTTGCCTAACATTACTCTTTATTTGGTTTTCTACAGGGTCCTCTCTATATATTTTTTCTGAGTAAATTGTAAATAATCTTGTCACTTATATCTTCAGTTGCACTCATCACCTCTTAGTTTGTGTAAAAGCTCTTGTTACTCTTTAATTGACGAAGAGCTTTGCTACAAGGATCCAAAATATGTGATCAATAAGGGGGACAAGTGAGGTGTCCCCCTCCTATTGGATAATGAGTTGGCCATCATTAATGATGACCAACTTATTATCCAATATGAGGGGGACACCTCACTTGTTCCTCTATTGGTCCCATATTTTGGGTCCTTGAGGAATTTTTCATTGACGAATGATAGAAGATATCTGTAATTTATTATAATTTATTATTCTAAACCTCAAATCTAAGCTAGACAAGTGCTAGTAAGGGCCCGTTTAGATAATGAAAGTATTAGAAGTAAGAAGTAGGTTATAGAATTAACTTTCAAAACTATGAAGTAGGAAGTAGTGGAAATAACATTTTTTTGTTTGTTTCATATATTTTTAGAAGTAATAGAAGTAGAAGTAATAGAAGTAGAACTTCTTCCTCTTCATTTACTTTTTTTGTTTGGATAACATTTGGAAATATTACTAGGAAGTAATTTTATCAATGAAAAGTTGTTAGAAGTAACTAATAAAGGAAATATTAATAAAAAAATTATTGATGCCATAATTAATATGCATTTCAACTACTTCCGAGCTACTTCTGAGTATTGAGGATTGGAAAAATATTTTGGAAGTAAGGATGACACGTAAGCGCCACATAAGCATTTAGGGAAGTATTGAAAGTAAGTTTTTCAGAGAACCAAACATATTTTTTTGCTTGGAAGTAACAGAAATAGCTTTTACTTCTTTTACTTCTGCTACTTCACAATTACTTCCGTGCAAACAAACATGCCCTAAATGAGTTGGCGGATGCCACTGAAGTTACAGTGAAGAAATGTTACTTACAATTTGCCCTAATTTTCTCCCATAGTGACATCTGATCTCCAATTATTCCCACAGATAGTCAGATCTTGGCTTATTAGGGCATCTCCAACCATACCCTCCAAATTTGGCCCTCCAAATTGGAATATTGTAGGAATATTCCAATTTGGAGGGTGAAATTTGGAGGGTTACTCCAACCCACACTCTCTAAATGTTTTTCTTTTTATTTTTTTTGTCAAAAAAACCATATAAATTAAATAATGTTGGATATAGTTTACGTTAATAATTTTATTGTTAATAATTTATTTGGAAAAAAAAATTATAACATTATAAAGGTGTCGATGAGAGCTTTAAAATGAATCCAATATTAATACCGCAACACAACATATTAAAAAAGAAGAAATTCTGAAATAACAGTGAAAGCATACATCGATAGAACAAGAAAGCAAATATTAACCTCTAATACAACATACCATAGGTCGCAAACATAAACCTCAAATATAAAATATGATAAGTGACAATTAAAATTCTGACAGATCATTATCATTATAACTACCGGTTCCATCCCGATCTCTCGAAGAACCACCATATTCATTTCTTCCTACAGAACTAGCTTTGCTCGCAAATTGAGAAAATCCTCCTTGATTTCCAGTGGGAAATTCATATTCGTAATTTATGCTTGTATTTTTTTTATGGAGCAAGTTAAATAGATCCCCATATTCAAAATTTCATGTCTAATACTTATTTATTTAATTTTAAAATTAATAATTTTATAATAATACTAAAATA